CGATTACGGATTGGGTCGCGGGAACAGATGGCCCAAGCCTTCTACGCACAGGCCAATACAATACAAGTTCTGCTCTTGCTGCTCGTTTGCGTTTCTTTTGCCAGCGCCAACATGTGCAGAACGAGTCCGGCAAGGTAACTGGAGTCTGCGTCGGAGATGTTATATTTGTTGGAACACTGACATTGAAGGGGCCGAGTTTCCCGCTTGCTGCAAACCTAGCGAATTCAAGGATGTTGGTTTCGCAAAACGACGCGCCGGAACGACTGTGGCGAAAAAGTATTCGCGACAAGTTTAGCAGAAAGGAATCCACCTCCCGACGGCGTAAGGCAAGAACTATTTTTTGCAAGCTGATCGTATTCGGGGAAGTTTCGATTATTCTGATCACGTTCGCCGTAGTGCCTTGCGAAGCGCACGGAGATGATGAGCGCTCTTTGCACGATTGGCAGCAGTGGCGCCATGAGCGCGTGTGAACTTGACTTGAAAAATGTCCCGAGCTCTCGATCCTGAACTGTGAGATTGGGAACCAAACATCTGAATCGCGCGCTCCCAATTCCGATTCTGTCCACACATGGTGTAATTTTTATCAGGTAATGGATTTTCGTGGGTTTGGGGCGACTTCTTGGGATTCAGGGGTTTCAGGACTTTGAATGTTAGAGCTTGGGGTTTCAAGTTTAGGGATGCCGGTTGTGTTTTCTGACGGTTTTGTTTCGGCGCTGAGGCTTTATGGGCGTACAGAACTTCAGATAAAAGCTACCCCTCCTGCATGAAGATGACAGGTCCTGTCAAACCCCGCCGACGACAAGTACCGGAGACTTGCCCACATGATCGACTTTGGGCTTCAGGTTGTGGGTTGGAGGAGGCATACGGCTTGAAGATTGTGGATCCAAAACCAACACCCCTCAACCCCAAACATGTTGCTGCCTCTTTCAATTAGTTTCACTCTTGCGGTTCGCTGCTACGCTCAGGGCCCTGCACTCAAAAGGCCAGAACATTGGATGAAAGATGTATGAAAGATGCTTGGATTGGTCTTGATTGCTTAGATTTGCGGGCCAAAGTTCCTTCTACAAGCGCTGCAAGGTGCCTGAATGTCTTGTTGGTGGGGTAAAATTGGGTGCGCTACCTCACCCACAGATCGTTCGACTGATTGGCTGTACCCAACTGATCGAAACCCGGCGCCCCAAACTCGTTAACTCTCTTCAGGAAACTTGCGAAGGACAAGCTGAGTGGCAAGCTGCCTGCGATAGGAGGTCAGATCTTGGAGGCCTCTTGCAACAGGGTACACTGGTCCAGGTTTAGGGTCTGCCGGGCTTTTGATTGATCAGCCTGCTGGCCACTGTGGATTAATTGTTCTCCACACCTTGAATCCCAAGCATCAGCCAGTTCAACCCCAAAGCCCTAGAAGGCTCCATGCCCCACAACCTGAACCTTCAAACCCAACTGCGCTACATAAATCCCAAAGATCCACAAAAAACAGATTAAGGTTCCAAAGCCTGAAGCGCGCTCGAGGTTTTGGGGTTGAGGATTCTGGCACCCATTGTGCGAAATCCTAAATCCAAGCACTCAAGGCCGAACCGTTTTTCTGGGCCTTTCGGTGTGATCGTCCTCTTCCTTCCAACGCCAAAGTCAGCACTCAAACCCCTGAGGGCCAAACTGCAGCAACCAAAGCCGCCTTGGAGCTCGGGGGTTTGACAGTAAGGCTGTTTGAAGTTTGAGGTGAGCCGGAGTTGCAGTGTTTGGTGGAGAGGACACGAAAGAGGGCATTGAGGGAGCTGATTCCTGGGGTGGTCGAGGCGAGGCAAATGAACTTGGATTTGGGTTTCAGAAATAGAGGTCGTGGTTTGGAGGGTCTTCGAGGATGTCAGGCGATTTCAAGGCAGCTTTCAACCTTCCAAATTCACCAGTCTGCGGCCACGTTTTCCTCTGGCAGGCGCTAGGCTTCCAGGATGCGGGCGAGGCACATGCGGGCGGTCAAGGGGTATCGTGGGTCCTTCCTCACCTTTGATCCATCAAGAGCCGTAGAACAAAAGCCCTGAAGCCAAACTACACGCTCCCAAATAGTCTTTCTTTTTCACGTTGCCTGGTCCCTGACCGCAAGTCTGGTTTGGGCTTCGGACTTGGGTGTTTTGGGGCTCGTTGGTGAGAAAACTCTCTTTGCGCCGGGGACGCAGAAGGGCCTCTCCACACTAGTGCCCGCAAAGTGCGTCTTTTCGTGCTGTTACAAGTTCCCAGATCTACCTTCTTTTTGTCCACATGCGACCTGTTGCTGTGAATAGGTGTGTTTTGTTACAGTCTTGTCCTTTCAATTCTCACAATCATGAAGCAATTCGTTCATGTATTCTGTCACTCATCAAGAACAGCTTGTTTTTTCTTAGTTATACTTTCTAAGTATCCACAAATAAAAGCACCTATCCGGCTAAACCTGTTTTCAATAAGCACAATGCCATCTAGGACTGCACGCGATGATTTGAGAGTCTTTTGCCATTTTCCACGGTGAATACTTTTTCTTGCTTAGCCAAATAAGTAAGAAAGAATTGTTCGACAACGCCGGTCAACATAACGTTCCAATAGGTGCTTGCAGGTACAGCTGCCTTTTGTCATGCATTTCTTTTCGCTATATCTTCTCTCTTCATTTCTGCTTGATCATATCAAAGTAACAAAAGCAAACACACGAAACCCTACTATTTGCAAAAAATCTGGTAAAATGCTGCTGAGAATTTCTTCATTTAACCACCTGAACAGGTTCTTTAAGTCCCGTTAATCTTCATACATCAGTCTTCAACGCATTTATCCTAGCTTCAATCGACATGTTTTGCGCGCGCCCCTGAATGTTTATCTGCATTCCGTTTACTTTGCGAACACGCGATCGAACGCCGTGTCGCGTCACCCTGCGTTTCGAGCGGTTAACAATTTGTGATCAAGGACGGCATTTGCCAAGAATGGCACCACAAGCTGAATCGTTTGAGTATCGTTTGCAGCTCTAAAGAGACTCTTCACACCACACTCCTCAAGCCAATGAAAACTTGTGAACCTTTGAAGCCTTACCTCTTCGCTCCAATTCTTTCGAGCCAGCAAAACGCTTAGGCGACTTCAAAAAATTGAGCCATCGAGGAAGTCTGTTGAGCGCGAAGGCTTTGGGTTACTTTTGGGGATTATCTTTATCCGACTTCACTATCGGGCTGGCCGAAAGCCCTAGACCCGGAGCTTTGAGGCTTACATTCTACCCCCGGGCGAGTTGCCGGATGACCTTGTGATGGCTCGTGCCTCACTGGTTGCTAAAGGGTTCTTTCGGGCTTAGGGATTGCGGGTATTGGGCATTATATATATATATATATATATATATATATGAAAATAATGTTTTTGAAAGTGCTAGACATACGCTCGTATGTTGCCATGCCCCTGTTGTAAAAAACCCTAAACCGAAACCTGGGCTTAGCGTTTAGCCCGCTTGAGTCCGAGCTTAGCCTTCAATGGTTCATTCAGTTCTCCAGTTTAGGTTTCCTGAACCTATCAACGTGCAAAACGAAAGAGATGGCGCATATCGGGTGTTCGAAGTGGGTTGAGTTAGCTCTTATGCGGGGGCACAAAGGAGTTTGAGGATTCAAGACGACAGTTTTCCACAATGTCCGCTTAGAGCCCAAGTTGCTGAACACGTTTGTCGGCATGTTTCAGTACCAAGTGTGAGGTTTTGGTCAGATTATATGAAAGATGGCAGGGAGATTCCACAGGACTGGGCATCTTCAGTGTCTTCTTTGGTGTGCCCATGTCGCTAGGTATGTGGTCTTACCTTACGTCGCGGGCTCCTGCCGCGATTGATTGTTGTGGTGAGGAAGAGCCAATGGTGGCAAGGAGCAAGATGCTCCGAAGTGCCAAGCTGTCACTTCGATACGATACGGCTTGTAAAGCAACAGGGAGTGGAGATCTGTCTCTTGTTGTTGTTTTTTCTCTCTCTATCTCTCTCTCTCTCTCTCTTGCTCGCTCGCTTGCTCTCTATTTCTCACTGTCTCTCTCATTCTTTCTGTCTCTCTCTCTTTCTCTGGCCCTCTCTGTCTCTCTCGTTCTCTGTGCCTCTCTCTTTCTCTCTGTCTGGCTCTTTCTTTCTCTTTCTCCTTTGCTCTCTCTTTCTCTCTTTTTTTCTCTTTCTCTTTCTCTTTCTCTTTCTCTTTCTCTTTCTCTTTCTCTTTCTCTTTCTCTCTCTCTCTCTCTCTCTCTCTTTCTCTCTTTCTCTCGTTCTCTCGTTCTCTCGTTCTCTCGTTCTCTCTTCTCTCTTTCTTCTCTCTTTCTTTTCTCTTTCTTCTCTCTTTCTTCTCTCTTTCTTCTCTCTTTCTTCTCTCTTTCTTCTCTCTTTCTTCTCTCTTTCTTCTCTCTTTCTTCTCTCTTTCTTCTCTCTTTCTTCTCTCTTTCTTCTCTCTTTCTTCTCTCTTTCTCTCTTTGCTCTCTCTCTCTCTCTCTCACTTTCTCTCTCTTTCTCTCTCTTTCTCTCCCCCCTCTCTTTCTCTATCCTTCTCTCTCTCTCTCTCTTTATCTCTCTTTCTCTCTCTTTCTCTCTCTCTCTCTCTCTCTCACTTTCTCTCTCTTTCTCTCTCTTTCTCTCTCTTTCTCACTTTCTCTCTCTTTCTCACTTTCTCTCTCTTTCTCTCTTTCTCTCTTTCTCTCTTTCTCTCTTTCTCTCTTTCTCTCTTTCTCTCTTTCTCTCTTTCTCTCTTTCTCTCTCTTTCTCCATTCCTCGCTGTCTCTCTCCTTCTTTATCTCTCTCTCGGTCTCTCTCTCTCTCTCTCTCTCTATATGTCTCTTTCTCTTTCTCGTTTTTTGTTTTTTTTCTCTCTCTCCCTCTCTGCCTCCCTCCCCTGAGAAGCTCGACGATTTACGATTGAAACCAGAAGTGGGCGGTCCTAGGTCCACCATCGCCCCAAACTGCACAAACTTCCCGAACTTCCTCAAGCTTCCTTGATGCTTTCAGAATTAATTTGCAAACCATTTCAGAATTCATTTGTGAACCCGAGGCCAAAGACCTGCTGGACTGTTTAGCCCTGTCGGCCGAGCAGGACACGCTGGACACCGGAGGCTCGGGAAATGCGGCTCGCCGAGAACCCAAAATAGCACATCAAATAAGCGTGATTAACGACACGTTTGCGGTTGGCCTGCAAGCAATAGTGTTCGAGGCTTTGGTGTTCGAGTCTTGCTTGACAATCGTGCAGAAGATCGTTTCACTGAACGCTGGTTTCAAGACCTGCCACCCCCATCCCTTGTTCAAAAATACTCCGACGAAGCGGCAAGGCTTTCACAATGTGCGCATCTTGTCATGCCACGCAGAAGTCCGAATCCACCCTAGCTAGCACAGCACCTTTAAAGGCGAAGCGAAGAGTCTGGAAGCCGAAGAGGATGCCGAGTTGGCTGAGGCGGCACTTTTGCGATGCCATTTTTGGGATGTCACTTTTGAGATCGCATTTCAGGTTCAGGCGGTTCGTTCGGGTGAGGTTTGTTTGTTTCGCTTCGGCCGCTTGATCCAGGCTCTACGCCTCTCCATGGGCGATGCCGCAGAGGCCCCAGAAGCAAAGCGTGCGCGAGGGGAGCCCGGGCGCCCAGCAGTAAGAGTGCTGCAATGGTCCTGGTTGCATATTCAAATGGAAGTAAGAAAGCACGTTTCGTCCAAAATCTAAGCTGCGCCCCGGGGATCCATGCAGGAAACCAGAATTTGAAGAGGTGGGTTGGGCCAGCTTCACATTCTCCACATCCTTGCTTGAATCTAAGTTCGAGCGTGGCCAGCAAAAGAATTTCTTAAAGCTTAAGGGTGCGTTTCTTCGGGTGTGGTCGTTTACTTGTAGAGCCGAATAAACGTTTAATCCTGAATGAGGCTTAGAAGGGATGTCTTCTTCGTGTGGTTCGGACCCAATTCTCGAAACTTCGAGCAAGCTCTAGAAACAGTTCTACTTGTAGTGGTTGCGTGGTTTGGCGAATTTTACAGCAGACAAAGGAAGATTAACAAAGTTTAAAGCAAAGACAGAAATAATCCTGAAAAACACCGCTGTTCGCACACTGTTTTGGTGCTCGTGGTTGTAGGTGGTTTGTGACGTGGGTCCGTGTTGAGTGATTGTAAAGGCTTGTCAGTGAGACAAAAAAACGAAGTTTTGCATTATCCGAAGAAGGAAAAACAAAAAACACAGCGCCAGAAAAAATGCCCCAAACCACCGCAGAAGCAAGTGTCGTCAGCAGTAGCAGCAGCAGCAGCAGTAGTACCAGTCGCAGTAGTCACAGTAGCAGTAGGCGCAGTAGTAGCAGCAGTCGCAGATGTAGCAGTAGCAGCAGTCGCAGTAGCAGCAGTCGCAGTAGTAGCAGTCGCAGTCGCAGTAGAAGCAGTCGCAGTAGAAGCAGTCGCAGTAGTAGCAGTCGCAGTAGTAGCAGTCGCAGTAGTAGCAGTAGTAGCAGTAGTAGTAGTAGTAGTAGTAGTAGTAGTAGTAGTAACAGCAGAAGTAGCAGCAGCAGCAGCAGCAGCAGGAGTAGTAGTAGTAGTAGTAGTCGTAGTCGTAGTCGTAGTCGTAGTAGTCGTAGTAGTCGTAGTCGTAGTAGTAGTAGTAGTAGTAGTAGTAGTAGTAGTAGTAGTAGTAGTAGTAGTAGTAGTAGTAGTAGTAGTAGTAGTAGTAGTGTAGTAGTGTAGTAGTAGTAGTAGTAGTAGTAGTAGTAGTAGTAGTAGTAGTAGTAGTAGTAGTAGTAGTAGTAGTGTAGTAGTAGTAGTAGTAGTAGTAGTAGTAGTAGTAGTAGTAGTAGTAGTAGTAGTAGTAGTAGTGGTAGTAGTAGTCGTAGTAGTGGTAGTAGTAGTAGTAGCAGGAAGTAGTAGTAGTAGTAGTAGTAGTAGTAGTAGTAGTAGTAGTGGTAGTAGTGGTAGTAGAGTAGAAGTAGAAGTAGTAGTAGTAGTAGTAGTAGTAGTAGTAGTAGTAGTAGTAGCAGTAGCAGCAGCAGCAGCAGTAGTAGTAGTAATTAGTGGTAGGAGTAGCAGTAGTAGTAGTAGTAGTAGTAGTAGTAGTAGGAGTAGCAGTAGCAGTAGCAGTAGCAGTAGCAGTAGTAGTAGTAGTAGTAGTAGTAGTAGTAGTAGTAGTAGTAGTAGTAGTAGTAGTAGTAGTAGCAGTAGCAGTAGTAGTAGTAGTAGTAGTAGTAGTAGTAGTAGTAGTAGTAGTAGCAGAGCAGTAGTAGTAGTAGTAGTAGTAGTAGTAGTAGTTGTTGTTGTTGTTGTTGTAGTAGTAGTTGTTGTTGTTGTTCTTTTCTTGTTGTTCTTGTTGTTCTTGCTGTTCTTGCTGTTCTTGTAGTTGTTGTAGTAGTTGTAGTAGTAGTTGTAGTAGTAGTAGTAGTAGTAGTAGTAGTAGTAGTAGCAGTAGCAGTAGTAGTAGTAGTAGTAGTAGTAGTAGTAGTAGTAGTAGTAGTAGTAGTAGTAGTAGCAGTAGCAGTAGCAGTAGCAGTAGTAGAAGTAGTAGTAGTCGTAGTCGTCGTCGTCGTCGTCGTTGTTGTCGAAGTCGTCATCGACGTCGAAGTCGAAGTCGTTGTTGTTGTTGATGTTGTTCCCCACATCTTTGTGTGGGGTTCTTACTTTTGGGGCTGTCCCGCCTCTCCTCCTCCTGCTCGTCCTCCTCCTCCTCCTCCTTCTCCTCCTCCTCGTCCTCTTTCTTCCTCCTCTATCATCACGCACATCACGCACATCACGCATCACATCACGCACATGACGCACTTCATGCGCCACACAACATCAGGCACGTACTACATCACGCGTCACGCACCTGATGCGCCACATAGCTCCATGACGCACTACATGATACATGCACATCACGCACTTCATGCACACACATCACCATACTGCACAACATCAGGCGCGCGCGCGCGACACATGCGTCGTTTGTGCTGACAGGCGCGGTACTTAGAGGCCCTGGACCCTTGCCGAGCGCGCGCAGGGGGGCTCGCCAAACGCTGGCAGGCGCGACACATGCGTCGTTTGTGCTGGCAGGCGCGGTACTTAGGGGCCCTGGACCTTTGCCGCGCGCGCGCTGGGGGGCTCGCCAAACGCTGGCAGGCGCGACACATGCGTCACGCGTCGTTTGTGCTGACAGGCGCGGTACTTAGAGGCCCTGGACCCTTGCCGAGCGCGCGCTGGGGGGCTCGCCAAACGCTGGCAGGCGCGACACATGCGTCGTATGTGCTGGCAGGCGCGGTACTTAGGGCCCCTGGACCTTTGCCGTGCGCGCGCTGGGGGGCTCGCCAAACGCTGGCAGGCGCGACGCATGCGTCGTTTGTGCTGGCAGGCGCGGTACTTAGGGGCCCTGGACCTTTGCCGCGCGCGCGCTGGGGGGCTCGCCAAACGCTGGCAGGTGCGACACATGCGTCGTTTGTGCTGGCAGGCGCGGTACTTAGGGCCCCTGGACCTTTGCCGCGCGAGCGCTGGGGGGCTCGCCAAACGCTGGCAGGCGCGACACATGCGTCCTTTGTGCTGGCAGGCGCGGTACTTAGGGGCCCTGGACCTTTGCCGGGCGCGCGCTGGGGGGCTCGCCAAACGCTGGCAGGCGCGACACATGCGTCCTTTGTGCTGGCAGGCGCGGTACTTAGAGGCCCTGGACCGTTGCCGCGCGCGCGCTGGGGGGCTCGCCAAACGCTGGCAGGCGCGACACACGCGTCCTTTGTGCTGGCAGGCGCGGTACTTAGGGGCCCTGGACCTTTGCCGCGCACGCGCTGGGGGGCTCGCCAAATGCGTCGTTTGTGCTGGCAGGCGCGGTACTTAGAGGCCTTCTTGGGCCCTTGCCGCGCGCGCGCTGGGGGGCTCGCCAAACGCTGGCAGGCGCGACGCATGCGTCCTTTGTGCTGGCAGGTGCGGTACTTAGGGGCCCTGGACCGTTGCCGCGCGCGCTCTGGGGGGCTCGCCAAACGCTGGCAGGCGCGGCCCTTGTGCTGGCAGGCGCGGTACTTAGGGGCCCTGGACCCTTGCCGCACGCGCGCTGGGGGGCTCGCCAAACGCTGGCAGGCGCGACACATGCGTCCTTTGTGCTGGCAGGCGCGGTACTTAGGCCCTGCTGCCATTCATTCAAGAGCACGCCCACAATCACCGGCCGGAGACGTGCCCTCTATGTTTTTTGCGTGCGGCAGAACTAGGGACCCGGCAACAAGGCGCTACCGCAGACCTACGGCTGCTGGCAGAACCACACGTGCGAAGCAGAGGTCGTTCCACTGAGCGTCAGGACGACGCTGCGGAGCTCCTGTTGCAGCTCTGCAGTGACCTGCTGAGAACGAGGAGCTGCTGGATTTGCCAGCCACAGCGCATGCCCTGGAGTTGACAAGCATGTGGACAACTGTGGTCTCCTGCTTGCACTGTCAGCATGAAGACACAACGGAGACACTTGTCTCGCAGTTCCACTGGGACCTACATCCCTCCGACAGCGCCAGCACCGTCACCGACTTGCTGCAGAGCACCTGCGACGTTGAGGATGTCGCAGAGGCAAGCCGGTGCAGTGCATGCGGACAATGCCGCTGCCGCGTCCGGCGTAGGGGGCAGTTGCTCGGGATGGGTGAAGTTCTCTTGCTTCGTGTGGTGCGGGAGCGCTGGTCGAAGACTCGCAACAAGTTCGACCACATGGATTCGCGGCCAGTGGTTCCAGAGCCTTTCTTGATCTTGCACAAGCGTACCTATCGCCTGCGTGCGGTTCTAGTGCACCGGGGCTACGATCCAAGAAGCGGGCACTACCTCTGCGCAGTGCCTCTGGACACTGACAACAACCAGTGGCGACTCTACAACGACGGCGTCTGCTTGTACAAAAAGCAGCCCGCAGTGGCGCAGACGGCATCTACAGCGTGTATATATGAGCACGGAGAGAGACAACTTGCACACTGAATTGGGATGGCCTCCGTCTCCTGCGCAGCTCTTTCCGCCGCGGCTAGAAGCCAGGCTTCGTCCAGGGCGGCGTCGTCCGCATCTGTCCAAATCGGCGAGGAGACCTGCGCACAAAGACAAAAGACACAACGACTAGGCCAGAGCCAGCCACACACAAGATGCAGTGTCTTTCCAGACACGGAGCCTTGGGTCACCAACGTTGCCAGGAAAGCAGCAGTGCAGAGGAACGTGTCTCTAACCCGCCCAACCCCAATCTGACCCCCCATACAGCAGTCACGACCCCCTCACCCCAATCTGACCCCTCTCAAATCCATTTTGACCCCCAGCCCAATAAAATCATGCACGCGTGCGTCGCTCATGTGTGTGCTTTTTTTTTTTTGGTTCAAACCAAAAAAAACAAAACGACATGCGACCCGGGGTGGACTCGAACCACCATAGTTTGCTTGGCAAAGTGTGGATCCACTTTCACAGCATCCAAAAGGCTACTGGGTCCGCTGCAACAAATGCCTCAACAGACAAAGTGTGACTTCCGGCTTTATTTTGTTTGGGGTGTGCTCAGTGTGATCAGAAGTCATTCGCGCGTGCGGTGAAGCTTCTTATTTTTGCCCTATCCTCCTCCACATTCCGGACCGGCACATTTCTATCGCTTATTTTTTTTACCTGTTTGCAATCACTTCAGCTTGCCCATCCTCTCACCATTCATCAAGC